GCGGATCATAAAATTTTCTGCGGACCCCTTTTTCACCGGGTCAGTGTTACCTACGGCGCATGCCCAGCATCGGGTCAAAGGGACCCTCTGCGCATGCCCCCGGGTCAAATCAACGCTAAACTTCAGTTTGCGATCCAGGTTTCCTAGAGAGCAGCCACGCTCTGTTTACAGTCAAGATTTAAAATAATTATTTTTGATCATTTCATCAGGTTTCTTCAGAAACTTTCTGGCATTATTTTTGCCGATTGAGTAAATTTTTCAGAGAAAATTAAATTTCCGAATTTTTATTAAATTTTCACATTTTGTGATTTTCTTCGAGGTCTGAGAGCTTGGGAAGTTAAGATATTGTTAAATAGTTAAATATTTGTTAAGTATTTCCCGAATTATATAAATTGTTATTCGTTCCTTAAATAAATTTGCTTGTTAAGAATCAAATAATTTTTGTTATTTACTTGTCGGCTCGGTCGATCATGACGTGCGCTCACCCGCTACCAGGGGAGAGTCTTTAGTCTACCCGCTACCAGGGAGATATCAACGCCTGACTACGCCAAGAAATAATTAAATTAGTCCAGTATAGTCGGCCCCTTATATGAATATTTAGACTTAGTCTTTGCCCCACCCGCGCGCACGTCGCAGTATATTCAAATGCTCAAACAATATACATTAACAAGGAATTAGTATAAGAAATACAATAAACCATGGTAAAGCAACAAGAAATTGCAAGTTATGTTGAGGGTAAAGCACTCAGTAACCTGGGTTAGAAGTGGCTAATATAATACCTCCGATAATGTACGCTTCCGCTGGAATAAAGTAACTTTTCATCAACATAAATTTTAATCAACTGACTATGGTAAGTTGGATATGAAATATATCTTTTATATTACTCAAAAGCCTTTACTTAGTGTAAAACTTCATGTAACTGATTCCTTAAAAAAGGAAATCATTTCATTTTAATACTAATATAATTCAGGTAATTCTTCGTGTCCATTCTCTCCAGTAAGCATAACAAAATGTTGCCCCTAAAAGTACTTCATGAAACATAGAGAAATAGGTCAAGCTAAAGCAGGTAAAACAAAAGGTCAAGGGTAATACTGACATTGAGTTTCGGTTCATCTAATAAGCATGCTCATCTTGATACAATACTTGGTACATTTCCTGGTGAATTTCATAATCTTACAGAGTATGTAATTGATGTTCATAATATATACTGTATTTGAATAACTTGTATTTTTTTGTAAGTATAACTAATAACTATAAAAAGTAAGAAATTGAATTCAAATTACTTTCAGATATAGACCTAAAATTTTCTTCAATGACTTTTTATCAACTTTGTAAATTTTGGCAGGCAAGTATTACATTTGTAGAACAGTAAATAATTCACAGGACCTAGGTACTGTTATAATAACCATTTTAAATCAGCCCTACATTATTTCCCCAGTTTTGAAGGACCTCTATTGCCAAACTTATAAATAAATAAAATTCAAGTGATTTTAACTAAATAAGCATGTAAGTTCATGTAAAATGTGAACACATGAATTAACAGCACCTGTCACTGCACACATTGTAAAGTTTGTAAACACACCTATAAATGCAATAAAAAAACAAAATTAATACACCGTGAATGTTAGTTTATGTTTGTAGAGAATTTATCTGTTTCACACAAAAAAGTTATTGAGAATTGCAGATAAACAGATATAACTTTCTGTATCTGAACATCACGTGTCCGATATGGATGATCAACATTGGTAACACATGTCTGTGTATACAAGTTTCAATATCCATACATCTAAATTCAAAACATTCTTTTTTCCCCCCCAAGAAATATCTATAATAAATTAACATATATGTTGCTCTAGACTATTGTGTGTCAAATAAATGCTTTACAAACTATATTATATATTAATTATCAGGTAAATCAGGGTCAATCTGCTCATACCGTCTGTCTGACATAAGAATTTCTCCGTCCCTGAAATTCATTCTCGTCTTAGAAACGGTATATAATACATCACTAACATACAGTTTATCATCAGTAGGATATGTATGCCTTATATATACATAAAGGCTACATGCTAACTATAAATGTGCTAAAACTAATAATCTAATTAATTCATCAAATTGTAATACAAACAACTTTCAAATCGAGATATCTAACAGGATAATTATACTACTCTGCATGAATTATTTGCCATATATCAATATCCTGTTGAGTTTTAACAATCCTCTTTTCCAAGAAAAAAATCATTCATCATTTACAATTTCCTATTGGTTAAATTGTAAAGTTTGTAACAAATCATTAGCTTTAATACATTAAAAGAGGAAGACATAGAGATATATAGATAGTAAGTGTGGGGTAAATAGTTTATTGCTATAATTCATCCTAACTTTTTGAAAAAAGTCTCATTAAACATTATATAAAATTCAATTTTCACAAAGAAGTCAACTGTTCATGAATTACAATGTTTAATAAATTTAATTATTAAGATGGCTATGATGAACTACTGGGTAAGCAAGTTCATTCCTCACTAATTGTATATAAAACTATAACCTTTCTACATGTACATCACCCTGAACCAAAAAAAACGCTGGTATATATATATATATATATATAATTGTCTCACCTGTTGTGATGTAATGGAGCTCTCTGACTCGCTGATATATCGGCTTCTCTGTCTCGGCATAAAGCTCATCATGGGACTACCTATTAAAGGGGAGCCTATTGACATTGGTTCCTCGTCAAGAGGGGACAGAACTCCTTCAAATCCAGAGTCACTACAGTTAGAGGACGTAGATCTCTGTCGTTTAAGTAATAATGTGACATCTACAGCTTCCCCAGGGCTCGGGCTCAAACATAATTCTGTATTTCCCTTAGCAATTGTGTGAGCAACCACCGCCTGAAATACATAATGTCAGTTTGACCAGTATCTTACTATATAGTGAGTACTACTTCACAAAAATGTAAAAACATGCATGTATTTACTAGGGAAAAATATATGATATTTTTTTTCTTTTCCTTATAAAATTGAGAGACCTTTAAATGTTTTATTCATAGTACCATCACCATCAATTGCAAAGTACATTTTTATTTTGTGGCAAATTCAATACCTCCTTCTTTGAAATTAATTTACCCTTTTTTTTAAGTAAGTTCACTGCAAAAAACATATTACAGAAAAATAACCCTTATATTTCTTCTGCAATAGCAACTATGTACTTTTATATAACGTGTTTACTTTGAGGCTAGGACAATAAATTACAATAACAGAGAACAATATCTACATCTGTTTCCATACCAATGCCCTTTATAACATCCATCATTTTAAACAAATTACACAATGTATTTACAGCAGCCGATCAATATGCAATATGTAAGCAAAATATCGCCTACGTGATCACCAGTACATGTGTTTTATCTTTTTTTTTTCATCTTTAAACTTGCCATTAAGTCAAATCCAATACAAACAGCTGTTCTTTTTACTGTCAGACTGAACAGGCTTTATGTAATAACTATTGCACACCCCTTCATTAACAGAAACTCTTATTTTTGTGATTAAGACAAATCAATGGATAAACTATTCCATAAATATTTCATGACAGATGTTAACAGCAATGAAAATTTGAACCCATATTATATTCCTGTATTATTTTTATGGTTTTAAGAAAATAGTATAATGCATATCAAATGTGGACCCAGTATAAATGTGACATGTACTGAAAATATACTTTATATGCAAGTAAAGTTTTGATAACAAGTCATGTGATTAATTAAGGTGTATGATGAAATCCCATCATGCATGCAGTCATGGACAGAATACCAACAGCAACTGCACTTAAGAATAAGAAGACTATGCAACAATTACACTTAATTCAATACCCTGCTGTGACCTTGACCTTTGACTTCAGGACGTTGGTCATCCACATGAAATATAATCTACTTCCAGTGAATCATTATCCTTTGCATTTATCTACAGTGAAGTCTTCATAGTGGACCAATGTTTAACCTAAAGCATTATTCAAGTCTAAACCACCATTTTAAGTTGTTACAAATGACAGAATTTTGATGACTTTTTACTTATTAATTACTTAAAGGCCTTTTGTAGCAGATATAAAGTTTATGTAGACAAACCTTCATTTTCACCACATCCTTATGAAGTTCCAATTCCTTTGGAGACAAATCAAACTCTGTGAGACCAAGACTTCTGCAGATATCATTACATTTATGAGAGTAGAAGAAGAGAGCCATGCCCTTTGGCCCTAGGTTACCGTCTCCATATTCTTTGCCATCAAGGGTATGTAGCTGTGGGTCTGTATATAAATCACCTACACCTTGGATATCCACTACAATCAACTGGTGGCCTGATCTTTCAAATGTAAAATGACTGAACGCCTGCAACACAAACAGTGACTAAATGTAAAACAATATCTACAAATTACACTATCTCAAAATTTGCATTTTATTGCTGTTTAAGCAGTATACAATATAATGCTCTAATTAAATATAAAATGGGTCTATATTTTGAACTTCAGAATAGAATAGTTCAGTATTATATTAAGATGAGTGAGAATCAATCATTGGTAGAGTAAAATTAATGTTCAACATTCACAAACTACTGATCTGTCTGAATTCATAGTGCTTAGCATTTCAAATAAACAACTTTAAATCAATTCTTGTTCGGAGACATATAAACAGTATAGCCTTTCAATACTACATCTAATAATGGACATCAATTTGTCTTTTTGCAAAAACACAAATTAGATATCCATTTGTAAATAATACTTCACCAGACTGATAAATTAAGATTGAGCTTAATACATTGATTTAGGCATTATTTGTCTGACACTTCAGATATAATCATATAGGGTAATGGATTTCAGTATTTTCTAGAAGGAAATCATTCACTTATCTACAATTTGAAGCCGTTGCTATACACAAAAAATTCCATCTGTCTCTTTTAGTTTATTACAGTTTTAATTTACTGTCTTCTTATAAAACTAAGCCTCTGATAAAAATATCGCAGAGGCTTCTAAGATACTAAAACACAAATAGATTTTTCATTTCAATAATTCATATAAATTGTCTTTGTCCGTAAGTTTTCATGCTGAGAAAGAAATTCTAGAAATCTGCTAATATCAACAAGTTATAATTAGACAGCCAGTAGTGGTCTGAGGGTTTAAACTTCTATGCCCAATGAGACATTGGTAAATAATTTATCACTTACTTGCGGGGTATATCTAATATTTTCCTCCACAAATCCTGAGTTTGAGTTGTATTTTATATAGTGTCCTTCGATGAAATGTTCACAATGATATAATGGAGAGTCAGGTCTGTTTTTGAATTCTAGGATATACATCTGGAAAATGTCCACCTGAAATACAGTCATTTCAACTTATTTATTTCTAGCATTGTTTAAATCATTCCCATGTCCACTAACATGGGTTAAGTTCTCCACTAACTTATTGGCAGTGTTATTATGAGACACTGTTATGATCTCAATCCAGTGATTTTTTTCACTCATAGTGGCAGGACCCATGGAAAGAGGAAAATTGTGTCACTGGGAAAAGATAGGGAATAGTTAGAAGGGAAGACAAAAACCCATTTTATGTTTATACAACACCATTAATTTATCATTTCAGTATCATTTCAAAGTACATTGTACAAAGAATGAAGCTCCTCTCAAGACAGAGGAATGGGGTTGGCTGTAAAAAAAATCACTGAAATCTTAGCCCATAATCAAATGGTTGAGATACAGAGTTGCAGACATTATAAAACCACAATATCATCATTACCTTAGAAAGACATTCATTAATTTTCTCTTTTATAACTATATATTCATACTTAAATGTGAATGATAGAATTATGATTTGGCTTTATTTTGTGAAAGTTCATTGTTCTTTTTTGGTTCAAACACATAAACAAGTAATCAATCTCAATCTAATAACTAATATATAAAGTTTATATTGAAATATAACATTGCTATACAGAACATAAAAGTAGTCATAACACAAACAAGCCTGACTGTTTACTGTTAATGGAAAAAACCAGATTTTTTACAGAACTGCTGAGAATATTTAGGTCATGACAAAATCAATGATGAAATCAATACTGTAGGGGAACTAGTAGTTCAGCCAATATCACCAGATTCACAGACTATCTGACAGAATAATGAGAGATTTGGGAAATTTCACCACCTGATCTGAAACACATGAAGTTTCAAATGAATGAGGCTATCAGATAATGATGAAATCTTCTTATATTAAACCAATTCAGTCAATTTCATTCCTTTTTTATTGTTTTTTGTTTGTTTTTCCCCATGGCTAACATACATGCATTATAAGCATGTTAAATGTGACTTTAAGTCATCCAACTTCCAATATCCCAAACTCTCCACTTTCTTACTAAATTGAATTTAGACTTTTTGAGGATTAGAACCAACATCAGCCATGTGCTAAGACATTTTAGTCACTATCTTTAACATCAATTACTCTATATATACAATCATAACTTTAAAAACTGGTACGGCTGAGTCTGTCAAATTTTAATAAGTTGCTAAGATCAATATTTCATAGCATTTAATAGTAGAAATAAGTCTCAACCTTGATAATTATGAAATATTAACTTTCATGTAAATAATAACATTCTAGTAAACAATGATCTTGAAGTAAGCAAGTGCAGAAATAAGTATTTTCCTATCTGTAAAACATACTTTAGTAATATTTGCATACATTCCAAACTGAAAACATTAAATATTGCTTACCAGCTAAATAATTAACAACATGCACCTAAGGTACAATTTTCCCACAGCATAAACAGTAGCATACTTAAACCTACAATTATTTCTGCATGCAGAGAGATCTTGCGACTTTTATTCAAACATATAAAAAACATTATATTGTATGCCTGTTACTTATTCAATCTGCTCTCTATGCTTATATATATTCAAAGAAGTACAATATTCTGGACATCAACATGGAATTGAGGACCTGTTAATTTGATTTGTCAAAACTGTAACCAAATTATTTTTTATTACCTTTTTAGGAGGGTTATGTCGACTGTATTCTTCTCCCCATAACTTTGCATCCATCTGCAGTTTAACATCTTGGAAATACACATCGCGGTCAACTTCTTCCATGTATCGCTTGGCAACAAAGTTATGTGTATGGTTCCAATTTTCTGCCCCTGCATAGTCTGATAACTTCTTCCTGTACAATATTAAAAATGTAGAATTAATATTGATTGAGCTACAGGAATCTGATGAGGACAAACTACGGAAATTGGAGGCTTCAATTTAATGACAGATTTTTCAATAATCAATCAATATCAAGCACTTAAGTGATTCTGTAAATTAATATATAACCAGGTCATGTGCTAGTTGACATGATGACTGATTGTGATTGTGTTATTACATGCTATAATTGCTTGAAAAAATATATGTACACTGTACCACTAACAGCAAGTTTATTGATAACACTGCATATGTGAATATACTACACACCAGTAAACACCAGTAAACAAGTCAGTTGTTAACACATTCAATTACAATTAAAAGAGGAAAAAACCACAAACTATTTTCCTTCCAGAAATTTCAAGATATCAACATCTGGTACATTACCCATTAATTTATATATTATACAATACAGGTAAAACTGAGGTCTTAAATGAAGTGTTCTCATAGAAAACCTACACAAACGAATCACTTAGAGAGTATTTAATACTTCATAACTCATCAGGGATCACTCTAGCCCTGAATTTTAGGGAGAAGTTACTTCTCCTTCCAGTGAAAATCTGGACAAGGAGTGCACACAATCTACATTTTTAGGGAGTGAAAGTCGTCATTGGAAAGTAGTTTCTTTGAAAACCACATCTTTCACATGTAAAATGTAAAGCTAAATTTAACAAATTAAAAACTAAGTGCCCATCATAATTTACACAATTTTCATATTAAGAGACTTAATTTTCAAACCATGCACTCTTTTAGAGATCTATGTAACTACCTCTGGTAAAGATATGTATATAAATGTATATCACTACATGTCAAGTGTATTTTGAAATAAACTTAAAAACTTCTGTAAATAGAAACCAAGCTTATTATCTGTCTGGTACTTATTATACAAAGTTTGAGGGGAAATTAAATATGACCCACATACTTGAACTGAAATTTATCATGTTAGCAGTCCTGTTAATACATTGTATTTCAATTTATACACACAGTTAAGATTTTTTGCAGTGTAAACATAAGTTTTCCTGGATATTCTACAATTCAGTAAAAGAACATATAATGGTGACACATTAAGATTGCAGAAACCATGGTGACTAATACAAGAGTTGATGATCATGTGAACAAACACCAGCTGTTGTCATTGTTCTACATGATAATATATATTATATTATTCAAATAAATCATAAGCAATATACACCTACTTTATGAGTCTACATGTATTGGCAATTAACCTATAAAAAAACATCAGGACTTGTTTACAGTTCACATTTATTTACAATTGTTTATCATTTGTCATTCATTACCTTGTAAATAACCTATGTATATCATATATGTCTATTTTATGCTTTATGTATAACAAAGGTTTTTATCCAACACTATAGGAAGGGCACTGACCTGGCTATATAAAGACATGATTTAATGGTAAATCTACCCGTAATGATCAACTGTTAAATCGGTTGATTATTTACCTGATATTATGCAGGTAGTTAACCTACTTCACTACTTTCTTTTCTCTAGGGTTATTCATACATCAACAATATTTTGGCACCAAGTGTTGTAGACATTTCTCTAGTACTGTTTTCACTGTTATTGTTTTCATGATCAATATGTGCTTAGTAAGTATTATAAGAAGTGTGAATGTAAATAATGTGACTTTACCATATTCAAAATATATGTAAAATTGTACCTATGAAAATTTTAATATTATCATTGTAAGATTATCAGATATAAAAATAATTGTGAGATATAAAATAATTGTGAGATATAAATAAATTGTGAGATACAATAAAAATTTTTATCATCCCAATGATAACAATGACAACAAATTTATACTGTAAAACAATTTCCCTTCACATTACAGTTTAAAAACATAGAGAAATTTAACTTTTTATGTAACTGCAACAAGGACACAGACAAGAGCTGTCCGTAAGACAGCGCGCTCGACTTTTTTATTGCTTGCCAATAAAAAAAGTTTTTGCAGTAAAAGGCAATACAAGAATCTCTGTATTTTTAAAGTGAACAATGGCCATGAGCATTAAGATATTTAGTGAAGAATTATTTTACTGAATTGTGTGATACCCTTGAACACTGCAGCAAAGTTTGAAATGTTTAAGTCAAAAGAGGGCTGGTAAGAAAGAAAAAAAAAACTGAGTTGAGCCTTAAATAAATTTGGGAATCATGATTGTAAACAAGTATTCCAACTTTCAAATTAATATCTCAAACAGTTCAGTCAAAAAGTGGACTGGTACTAAAAACTTAACCAAGATTCTAAGTCGATAAAAGGCCTTAATTTTTAAAACAAATCCTTGACAGAGTTACCTTCTCTTGCATACAGATGGGGGTAATGATGTGAAATAGCATTAAAAGTTTCAAAGCAATATCTCAAAGGGTTAAGGCAATAAGTGGATTTTACCCATATTCAATGTATTTTCTAAGTCAAAAAGGGGCATAATTCTGTCAAAAACATTGACAGAGTTATGTCCTCTTGTCTGTTGATGAAGGTCGTGATGGTAAACAAGTATGGTCAGTTTCAAAGCAATACCTCCAATGGTTTTGAAATAAAGTGAGGTGGTACAAAAAACTTAACCAAGCTCAATACACTTTCTAAGTCAAAAAAGGGCCATAATTCTGTCAAAAACCTTGACAGAGTTATGTACTCTTGTCTGTAGATGGAGGTTATGATGGTGAACAAGTATGGTAAGTTTCAAAGCCATACTTGTAATACTTCTGAAATAAAGTGGGGTGGTACGAAAAACTTAACCAAGGTGTGACGCCAACGCCGACGCCGGGGCGAGTAGGATAGCTCCCCTTTTCATAGAAAAGTCGAGCTAAAAATGATTTAAAGCTGACATACATGTAGCAAGTTATATTCTCTCTTTACTAACATACATTAATACAACCCCTTTCAAATCAAGGTTATGGCACATACTGACCACTGCTAACTTCAGTGCCTTTTTTATAGCATTAGCTCTTTCTTCAATAAATGATAATGCATATATTTTTGGGCCTGTAAAAGCTATAACCAGGCTAGTAGATATTGCCAACCACTAGCCTGATAGACTTGTGCTTTTCGAATGTCAGACAAAATCCCCTTCGGACAAAATCCCTTTCATGTATTTTTGTATATATGGACATAATCCCCTCCATGGGTGGACATAATCCCCTTCATGTGTGAAATTTTGAAGGACAAAATCCCCTCTATAAAATTGCTACCTAGGACAAAATCCCCCTCAGATGCATTTTTTGTTTATAAAGTGGGTATGAGAGCGACATACTGCATTATGCTGTGTGGTGATTGCTAGTACTTTATTCGGGAATATTGGTTTTCAAAATCAGTTCTATACTGCTAAGGCCTGTGCTAGATGGACAGTGTTGCACAATTCATTTCCTCCTCACCATCTTTCAGAATTTATAGACAATTTGTAATAGTGTTCTTCTTTTTCTGTAACGGGAGTTTTGAGGTCCCTTTGAAAGGGTTTTCGGCCCTAGCTTGTAAATAAATATCTTAATGTATATATTTCAATTATTAACATTTATTTTTATAATGAACACTGCTAACTAATTAAATTGTTTTTAATGATAATTTGGTTGATAATTGATCTGAACAAATAAATAAAAAATGTCTGATCAAGCCTATATAATTATAAAGATTAACTTGATACATAATTATAAATAAAAAAAAACAAAAGTTCATTATTCATCAAATTTTATGAAGCATAATAATACATTAACCTATAGCTCTTCAGCGCTTCTTATGTAAAATTCTTCCAAGTATAATTTCCAATAACCGTAAATTATACCATACCCAGACTATGGTATAATTTTCAGTTTTGAAGATCGAAGGAGTAAGTGTTTCTGGGCGGAGCTATAGGTTAAAACAGATACACCATTGGTGCGTTGGCGATTGCTGGGCTTGCGTAAATTATACCATAATCACGTGACCTTTCTTATGCAACCTCACTCGACTTCGTCTCGTGAGGTCAAGGCATAAGAAAGGTCACGTGATTATGGTATAATTTAGGCAAACCCAGAAATTGTCAACGCAGCAATGGTATATCTATTACTTATTCATCAATTTCTATGGAGCATAATAATACATTAGAAACCTATGAAACAAGGGGATTTTGTCCGGGTAGGTAAGGGAATTTTGTCCAGCCTTGCAAAAACATGAAAGGGATTATGTCCACCCATGGAGGGGATTTTGTCTGGGTATGCGAAGGGGATTTTGTCCAAAGGGGATTATGTCCGAACACCGTGTTTTTCTGGTCCTACAGTGTAAGTTTTTTGACTGCTAAGCACTAGACATTCTCTTATTCCCTATTTATGTCATTAGCATGTGGATCACATACTATCTCAATCTATCAATGTTATGTAATTATTTCGTAAACATGTAAAAAACATTCTTGATAAAAAAAAATCTATATAACCAACCACAAGGAAGAAGAAATATCAATCAAATCTTCCGTATTCAAAATATGTACATCTATCATGTACATGTATGCAGAAAAACCATAACTGACATGAAGGAAAATAAGTAAGTATATTAATGTATGCAACATTTGCTAAAACAAAAAATGTTAAAAACTAAGCATGTCTCAGTTTAATGGTAAGTCAGTGAAAGAATAACATTTCAAAGTGCTGTAACTTGGATATTTAATTAAAACTTTAAACACTTCTCATACAAATTGTATATCAATATTCAATAAAAATTAAGAGAGTCCAACCAGTTACCTTATAAAGCTCAATACAACTCTGAACATTTTTTTTTCATTTTAATAGTTTTTAAAAACCAACAGACCATATAAAATAAATTACAACAGCAATACAGGCAACCAGCCTTAACCAAGATACACATCTCTGAGTTTAAGTTTGAAGACCTAGCTGTTTACACAAGTTGACAAAAAAGACCTCAAATTTAACTAATGCACCTTTCAATCTTAATATGCTACCAAGCAGAAGAAATTAATTTCTTTCCATCATAAACATTAATGAAACATGGTTGATCAGCCAACGGTTAAATGTTTTTCTTGTACTCTCACGAACTGTTTACTGCTTGTTTTCCTACTATTACACCATGTATTTGCTATCATCTGACACCTTTGTGATTAAATGACTGCACTAATGAACTTAACATTGACATGACCTTATTACTTTAGGGAAGTAAACATCATATTTACCTAGACATTTAAGTCCTTTTATGTTAACCTATATCAGCTGTTACAAGTAAATAAACTATAAAAGAGAAAATAAGACGGCCTCATATTGGGAGCAATTTTGATAAGGTCGTAGATGTTATGATCATGGTTAAAGTAATGATACACAAACACACAGACAAATTGAAAACAATATGCCCTCCTGATCTATCAGTTGAGGGCCATTAAAAACACAACATACTTTACCTAAATTGAAATTTTATCAGCAACTTTCTTAAAAGTAAAAAGTTTTCCAAAAATTTGAGTGTGAATACATTCTTTAAAATTTCACTGACTTCTCCAAGCCAATGCATACAAACCACACATTTTTTTTACTATGATTATTGCACTTAAATTTTCAAAAGATAAGCTAAAACCTGCTTGCAATTACAGGATTTTTTCATGAAATGAAATATAATATAATGGAAATATAATAGAATGTGCAGCATTTCATGTTTGTGGATAACTTTATTATAAGAATTGACAATATCATTTTTTAGCTTAGATTTAAAAAAAAAATCTTTTCTGATCTTTTAACATTTATGTTTCCATTAATACCATCACATTTTTACTGATTTAAAGGTAAATTTTTCCTTTATCCCAGTAGTTTGAAATCTGACAATGTTTTTCAAAGCATTTTCTTGTAATTGCTAAATTATGAAATGTTTTCAAGAAAATGTGAAAAAAGCCTTGCAAGAAAAAATTAAATACATGTACAATTATGCAATAAAATCAAAACAGGTCGTGTAGGAGTGTCATTAAATAAGAGAATATATAAAACCTCATGATATTTAAAAATAAAATGTTCGGCCAGTATTAAATTCTAATATACAGAACAGTATGCATTATGAACGGGCATTTCAAATATATTTTTATTAGTATAGTATATAAGTATACCATAAGTCTTAACACACTACCTAAGGTTATTAGATACTGAACAAGTAGATAATCATATTAGTAATCAGCTTTTCAATAAACACTGTATTATAATACGGATTTTGCTACATATTTGGTATATGGGATTGCCACATTTAATAACCCACCAGGAATAAGAAATCTTACGTCTTTTGCTATGATTCTTATTTTACACAATCCAAAACCTTTACCTTTTTCAGTTCAATTTAACATGGTTTCAAGGTCACCTTCAAACCAATATATAACCTTTATTATTTATATGAAAAGTTTAAACTTTGACATGACATCATTTCAAGCTCTTAAAACTGTACTTAATACAAAAAGCTAGAAGCTACACTTCAGTAACTATACCATCTCTTACAGTTTTCAGATGTAATATGATGTAAACAGATTGTGTGACCTACATTTTGAACAGCTGAGATTGCCTTACATTTCTGCACTTTACCTGGAGCAGGATAACATCGTCAGACATCAGTTAACATTTTTATGGCAAACAAGTTTCGACACAATCCAAGGCCATTACCTTACATGTAATTTTAATTACATATAGGGCTTACAATATTATAAACAATCTTTAATTTCAAAAATCAATTACTGTCACTGACAGATATTTCTTAATCTCTTTGAATTATTGTACGATGTCTTTTTCACCTTTACTGTGTACAATGACATATCTATGTTAGTTCTGTTTTAGCATATGGCCAAATGATATTATATCAAGTAATAAACAAGCTAAATTAAACAGCTAACATTTTTTGCATTCTTATCAGGTATCACTGAACACCCAGGTTTCAACAATTGTTCAATATGGTATTTTCCCTTTATCAAACTTTGTACTTCAAGCAAGTAACACCATTGTAAACAACTTTACAACCATTTATGCATTATATCAATAATGGAAACTTGACAGGAAATTTTAGTACAAATAGGTTATATATTTGTTCAATAAGTCATGTTTGACCTGGTGAATAGTGAATAAAATTTAAAACAAAACAATTGTATAAATATTTGGTTTTGATTTTCCTACTTAGATATAAGTACAAAAAGTTGTTTTTTAAAAGTCTGCTTTCTGCATAAACAGCATTCTATATGATTCCTTTACACGTCACTGACAAAGCAGTTTGGTTTCCTGTAACAATGTAAGATCTATAAATAGAAAAGTGACTCAGCAACATAAATCCCATACTTACAGCCTGAAACACTCCCGCATGGCACCTTTGTTAAATGGCTGAAAATAAAATGATTTGGGTGTAATGTATACTTCTGGTTTTCTTACATTTTCTTGTTTGACTTGATTTTATGTAATTGTATCTCCTTAAACATGTTTGCAATTAAGAGGGACAACTTCAACTTTATTAAATGGACAAGGATATTTCTAATATAATGACAGAAACGTCTAATGAAAAATCATTTGAAAGGAACCTCTACTTTAAACAAAATTCTACATGTAACGGTATTTCAAAATCACTGAAAAAATTTGTATAATTCATTACACCCTACTTAAACACATACTTTACATAACATACAAAGTTAACTTCCTCAAACAATCTTTATGAATAGTATATTACAATATTGATTTTACACATGAACACTGGTTTAAAAATAAGTACTGATATCATTTATATCAGAACAAAGCTACAATACATGCATTTACCTTCTTCTCCATTTTAACTCTGACTTCATCTGTAAGCCAAGCCTTTCTTAGAGCATTATATCTATGTCTTAAGCATTTTTCCACTTTATAATCATCTAAATGAAACTGTTCCCAGGGATCATCCATGTGTCTTGCCTTCCTGATGGCATTAATCCAGTTTCTTTGAGCCTTATTGACATTAACTTTCAGTCCTTCAAATGATGCAAGAGCTCTCGATAATCTTCTTTGTCTCAAGGACATAAACGCCTGTTTCTTTGGTCTCTCATCTTTCATATCATCATCAGATTCACATTCATCTGAGGCATCCTGAGCTGATTCTGTCTCACTACTATGAGAATCAATCTCAGAATCATGTGGACTACCAAAATCTGTCATGTCAAACAACTGAATCTCCCCATCAAATTCATCCCCGCTATCATATGATGACATTTTTCTGGTCCTTAAATGTTATGTTTTTAGAAATAGATGTTTAATTTTTAAACCAGTTGTTATTTTGAATTTTAATAAGAAAATTATCTAGCAGGTCAGTCAATCATACAAAGTCTTTCTGATACTGATAGTGTCAGTCTACGATTCCAAGCAGCTGGATCCTTGAAGCTTTCAGTCCTTTGCATCAAATACAAAACTTGGTGTGCATGATAAACTTTAAAGGAAGCTCATATATTCTCTTCACAATAACTGCAGACTCATTATCAACCAGTTGCTCATTTTTCATATGCATCTGCTTTTCAAAATTGAAACGAATTCTTGTTTGTAGCTCGGAACTGAAATTAAGAATTACAACATATAAATACTGAGACATAATCTAAAGGGATAGGCAACTGAAGAAAGAACTGACACTGAAAATTTCACTGATAGGTACAGAATTCTGTCTTTTTTAAATATTTTTTTTTTATTTGATTTCCATCTAAATACAGTATACACGTGTAGTCTATAGCCGGGCAAGGAAAAGCCCGTGCTTGCCTGTGAATTCCCTGTATTAAATGAAAATGGGTTGATACGGCAGCTAAAGGACAAAATATGAATTCTGAATCAGCTATTCTCACACAACATGAGGCTCAGTAGCCCGACAAACGACGGTTTTCAGCCCAGAAATTTAATATGGCTGGATTAAATTTAATGACAACTGTATTTTCTTAATCAACATATAATATTTCTAAAAAATACCTCATTCCACACAAGAAAAAGCGCCCAAAATATTACTAAAACTCCAATTTCATTTGCAATTATTTCATGGCACGTCAACTTGTTTATCTGTTATGTCTTCTTGAACATTGCGCATGCGCATTTTATTTACCAAGGTCACAATCGCAACTTTTCGGCACTTTCCGTCAGCCTTCGGGTAATGAGACGATCTAAGGGAGGTAAACACCAAACTCCTCACAGTGATTACCACCCTTTACAGATCTATACTGATAAGGGGAGATCACTGCGTAGGAGATTGGCAAACTCCTCACAGTGATTACCTCCCTTGGCATATGAAAAAAGAGCGCAAGGGGCTATATAAAAAGCCTTTTATTAATTGAAACAAAGTCTTCATCTATACAGGTTATTCTGATCTCAAATAACGTAGCAAAGAAAATTTTTAAGCTAACGTTGCTCTGATTAAAAAAACAGAGATGTAGCAGAGACATAGATAACAGAGACATATATATTATCTAGTTATCTATGTCTCTGGATGTGGATAATATAATCTCTGGAAAAAAAAACAAACAAAACAACAACATGTTTCTGTAAAAAAGATACCCGGCCGTTAACTTTTGTTTTCTCGTTTAGGGCATACGCATTTTTAACTTTGGGGATAGTACGCGGCTTTTAATGGAATGGCACTAATTAACGTGTCACGTTGAAGGTTCCATGAAAACCGCCATATGAACACATCTGTGGGTGTTACAAAATTCTAAATTTTACCATTTCATGTTAAATGTTGAATTCTGCTTAAGCCGATGCTCGAGGGCGTGGTCGGTAACTTGCACTTACCATTACCGTTCATGAACAGGCTCAGTGCAACATTTTCAATTTTGTCGTTTCGTTCGTTCTTTAGGGATTCTTTATCACTCTCTATTGTATTATGTTAGTTCTTAGTTTTCCATGCAAAGACTTAATGTCAAATAGAAATGTTAGCATAGCTGGCATAACAATGACATGATAATTTCTTGTAGGGTTATTAACAAACAAAAACAAAATAACCACAACAATTTAGCTTGCCTAGAATAGTATGACAGTGGATGATCGAATCTCTGATAATATAATAACGCAACAGTTCGATTACACTGAGACAGAAATGCTTTTTTGTCCCAGGATTACTACATACGATATGATGAGGCAAATACATTGTTTAAATCAAACTTAAATAGCAGAGGGTCGAACGTTTAGCGGTGCGATACTTCTTTAAGCGAGGTGAAATCATGCGGTGCGATACGGATTACGTCAAACCATATTACGTCAAATATGACGTCGTAACAATTGTAGTTTGGACGCCGATCGAATTCGTATTGTTTTATACTACCTAAGCTGAAGCGGGACTTAAAATAAAGATTAAGCGGCAAATCAGCACTTCTACTTCTACGTATGTAACTTTTGAATATTTTTTTAATATATTATTTTTTTCAATTATACCGTTTGTGATGATATATAGATCTAGCCCATGTATAAAATTTACATTATACATTTGTCATAAACTGTTACTCTGATTACCTCGGATTTTATCCAAAAACCTGTATAATCTCGGTGATATCGTTGGGACATTGTGTTACTGTTTGTAGGGGCAAACTGTTACAGTGTAACATTATGCCCCTATGCTTTTATCGAACAAGAAAATATTAATAATAATAATAATTAAAAATATAATAGTTCTTTCACAGTAGCAAGGGAATCTAAATGAGTGTTTTTTTTCAATCTCTACTTTAATATATAGATCTATATAAAAATAAAACGTATATAGATTTCTAACAAGATATATAGTCAATCCTGAAAAAAAAAACTAAAAAAGTGTGACCCAGGTGACCCATATTCAAACTTGACCTAGAAATCATCAAAACAAACTTTCAGACCAATTTCCAGGATACTTGGATCAAAACAGTAGCAACTAGAGTGTTAACAAGATTTTTCTATTTTTAGCTCCGGTGACCTAGTTTCACATGCGATTTCGAACTCATCCGAGCAATTACCTAGACAAGCATCCAGACCAAGTTTGGTGATAATTGAGTCGAAAATGTGACCACTAGAATGTTAACAAGGTTTTTCCATATTTGGGCGGTGTGACCTAGTTTTTCATCCAAGATGACCCATGTTCGAACTTGACTTAGAAATCATCAAAACAAACTTTCAGACCAATTTACAGAATATTTGGATCACAACAGAAGCCACTAGAGTGTTAACAATATTTTTCTATTTTTAGCTCCTGTGACCTAGTTTTTCATCCGAGATGACCCATGTTCGATTTAATCCAAGCAATGACCTAGACAAGTTTCCTGACCAAGTTTGATGACAATTGAGTCAAAATTGTGATAACCCATGTTCGAACTCATCCGAGCAAGTACCTAGACAAGCATCCTGATCAAGTTTGATGACACTTGTGTCAAAAATGTGACCGCTAGAGTGTTAACAAGGTTTTTGTATTTTTAGCTCCTGTGACCTAGTTTTTCATCCGAGATGACCCATTGTTCGAACTCATCCGAGCTATCACCCAGACAAGCATCCTGACCAAGTTTGATGATGATTGAGGCAAAAAATGTGACCGCTAGAGTGTTAATAAGGTTTTTCTATTTTTAGCTCCGGTGACTTAGTTTTTCATCCAGGATGACCCATGTTCGAACTCATCCAAGCTATCACCTAGACAAGCATCTTGACGAAGTTTGATGATGATTGATGCAAAAATGTAACCGCTAGAGTGTTAACACGGTTTTTTCTTTTTTTAGCTCCGGTGACCTACTTTTTCATCCGAGATGACCCATGTTCGAACTCATCCGAGCTATCACCTAGACAAGCATCCTGACCAAGTTTGATGATGATTGAGACAAAAATGTGACCGCTAGAGTGTTAACATGGTTTTTCTATTTTTAGCTCTTGTGACCTAGTTCTTCATCCGAGATGACCCATGTTTCAAACTCATCCGAGCTATCAACTAGACAAGCATCCTGACCAAGTTTGATGATGATTGAGGCAAAAATGTGACCGCCGGAGTGTTAACAAGGTTTTTCTATTTTTAGCTCCGGTGACCTAGTTTTTTCATCCGAGATGACCCATGTTCGAACTCATCTGAGCTATCACCTAGACAAGCATCCTGACCAAAGTTTGATGATGATTGATGCAAAAATGTGACCGCTAGAGTGTTAACAAGGTTTTTCTATTTTTAGCTCCGGTGACCTACTTTTTCATCCGAGATGACCCATGTTCGAACTCATTCCGAGCTATCACCTAGACAAGCATCCTGACCAAGTTTGATGATGATTGATGCAAAAATGCGACCACTAGAGTGTTAACAACTAAATGTGAACGGATGACGGGCAATGGTCGATCCTAAAAGCTCACCCTGAGCATGCTCAGGTGAGCTAAAAAAAAAACATGTAAATAATAAAATAGGATATATGCGTATTTATTTATTTATTTATTTATTTATCAATTCAATTTCAAATTTTTTTTTTTTTCTCAGAATGGTACGAAATTACAAGAGATCAACACCGCTATGAAAGGTTTCCGCAGATGTTATAAAAAGAGGAATAATGATGTAGTTATTTGCGATCTGTTGCCAATGAAATAAAGATGAACCCTATGACATTGTGTAGATACATTAAAAAAGCTAAAGAACTTGGAACAGATAATGTTGAGAGCTTCTTAGAACGATCTTTTTCGCCAGTCTTGACATTCAAGAAAACATACTGAAAAACTATCTGAAGACAGCAGCCAATGTATATTTTGGGTTAAGTCCAAAGGAGGTACGAATTTTAGCGTTTGAATGTGCTGATGCGTTTGGTATTGGTATGTCTGAGTCTTGGAATAGGGATAAAAGTGCTGGACCCGACTGGTTCTCTGGTTTTATGAAGCGGAACAAAGATTTATCAGAACCCCTGAAGCCACAGGTTTATCGCGGGCAACATTTTTAACAGAGCTAATGTAAATCTCTTTTTTGATAAGCTTGCAGCTGTTATGGATAGAGAAAAGGTTCAAGCTAGTGATGTATGGAATTTGGATGAAACAGGGGTTACCACAGTACAAAAGCCACGAAGCATAGTATCTACTAAAGGTGTTTAGCAAATTGGTTCTATTACGTCTGCTGAACGTGGGGAGCTAGTTACGATATGTGCAACTGTCAGTGCTAGCGGCAATACAATTCCTCCAATGCCGATTTTCCCTCGCGTTAAATCCCAGGACCATTTCATCCGTGACGGACCAGTCGGATGCATAGGTGCAGCGCATTCTTCAGGTTGGATGACTCATGACAATTTCTTGAAATTTCTGAAACCTTTCGCTCAACACACCAAAGTAACGAAGGAGAAGAAAGCTCTCTTTCTTCTTGACAACCACGACTCACATCTTCATATCGATATTCTGAATTATGCCCAAGAAAATGGGATTGTAATGTTATCATTTCCGCCTCATTGCTCTCATAAGTTACAACCCTTGGATAGGTCAGTATTCGGTCCCTTCAAAAGATACTTGGCAAGTTTTCAAGACAGTTGGATGCGCAACAATCCCGGAAAATCTATGACCATCTACGACTTGCCATGTAGCACAAAAGAATGTTGGCCGAAAGCAAGCACTCCTATAAATATTTTACATGGGTTCAAGGTTTCCGGTGTATACCCTTTCAACAGGAATGTTTTTAATGCCAAGTAATGTAACTGACCGACCAGCACCATATTCTATAGACACGTCACATTTTACAAATCAGACAGGTGAAAGTCCGGAGCATCTTGCCACTCAAAACCAGTATGAAAATGTTGCTGAAAATCAAAGTAATGTTTTAATAGGTACGAACAATGACACAAGAACAAATGAATGGAAATTGATAAATAGATTTGTACAAGTAATGGGTAGAGAATAAAAATAAATACCTGGAGATGGACACTGCCTTTTGCATTCAGTGCGAAGAGCGTTATCTGAAAAAAAGATTTCAACTATAAGCCATGAAGAAATTTGTTTCAAACTTAAAAATGAAATTATTGTCAACAGAGGTTATTACACAGAATTTGCTGGTGGCCGCGATATCGTTTCTGATATTGAAAATTACATCACGAAAAAAGAGTTTAACAATGACTCAATCGATTTAGTTCTTGCCGCCCTATGCAATAGCTTTGGTGTTTCTACTATTATATACTTTTGTGTGC